TCCCTCCCCGGGCCTCCCCCGCCCGCGAGGTACAGCTGGGCCAGTGACGCGGGAGGTGCCGCCGCCGAGTTCTATTCTCCTCAGCCGGCGACAGCCTCGCGCCCTGCCTCCCGCCTCCTTCCCCAGGCGCCGGCGAGCTGCAGCCAGACAAGGGCACGCGGGGCACGCGGGGCCTCGTCTACACCCGAGAGGGCTGCGGGAGCGCGCAGGCGGCGGAGCGGATCCCGGAGCCGCGGAAACTGCAAGCTCCTCCCTCCCGGAGGTCGCCGCGCCGTTCCTCGGTAAGTTGTCACCGTGGCCGGGGAGCAGCGGAGTCCGGCATTGTGTCCCTGGCGCGCCCGGCCGGCTGTCAGGGTCTCGGGATTGGCGCGCACCGCCCGGGAGGGACGCTGGGGAGCTCCGGCCGGCTGCCTGGCGTCAGCTGCTCTGCGCTGTCTTGCTGTCACCCGCGTGGGCCGGCCGGGCCCGGTGCGGGGCGGGCGGCCGGGGAGTCTGTGCCGAGGCCGCAAGGAGGACCGGACGGCCGTTTTGCGGCCAGGAGCTTAGTGGCCGGATCGGGGCACGCCGCCCTGGCCTCCCCGGGCGTGCTGGGTCGTGCTCGCTGCCGGGGCGTTCAGGGTGGAGACCACGGTTGGCCGATCGCTGGAAAGGAGGTAGGCTGAGGCCCCTTTTCTTTTACTATTATTATTATTTTCCTCGTCAGCCGACTAAAGCTGCGGGTCCCCAGCTGGGGCAGGGTTTGCTTAGCGACTGTGGATTTCCGGAGCAAACCTTGGAGTTCGTATGTGTGAGTCCTGGAGCTTTCTGCAGCCCTCACTCCCCATCTGGTCTTTAATCTCAAAACTTCTCTTGTTATACCCGGCTGAGACTCACCGAAACCATTTCCTGTTTATGTATGTAGACTTTCGTTTTGACTCTTGCTTTTTGAGACTCCAAATATTAGTGTAGGTCTGACCCTCCCGTAGGGTCGTGGCTCTGGGGCTGCTGAAGTGGAAAAAGTTACCTGTAAGGAGATGAGGAGGGAGAGGTGGTTTGGGGAACTGTAAGACACTGGAGAAAAGACGCGTCAAAATCAGGTCTTTGGCTGGTTCCGGGGAAGTTCATGTTTTGGCAAAGAGGCCTAATGCTGTTCCCACGGAATGTTCTCTCGGTGGCAGGCCACTCATTGGGCTTTGTTGCTCTTGGTGACTGGGCTTGTGTGTGCTTTGTACAGAGGTGCAATAAAACTACTCAGTTCAATTAAACTGTAGATATTTACTCCCTTTCTACATCTACAGAGGTGGGAGGTGTGTCTTTCTGTCCTTCACAGTCGTTAATTCATTTTTTGCTTTTTTTATACCTCTGGTTTAAAATGTATGTATGAATGATGTACACACACACACACACACACACTTTCTGTTTTGGGAATTCCACACCCAAATTGTCACCGTCTAGTGGAGGGCTAGTAGAGGCATGTGCTTGGCATTGAGGTCAAAATTTTTTGGGCTTTGCATTTTTAGCTAGATGCATATTCAAGCAGAAGTGAAAATTTTCAGTTTGAGAGGAGGTGTCTACCTCCCCTTCAGTAAAGGAGGTATTTAGTAAAGCAACAACGATAGCAGTAGTAGGAGAAATTCTTGAGGATGAGGACTTAATGTACATCAAGCCTTCTGCCAAGGACTTTACTTTCTTGATCTCATTTAAATAAACAACAAACTTTTGGTAGATATTGTTATTTGCATTTTTTCCAGTTGAGACCAAAGCCAAACAAATAATTTGCCCAAGGTCACAAAGATAGCTTGTGGTGGAACCCACACTGTAACTACTTGATTCTGCTGTTTCTAGTTTGCTTACCTTTTGGTAAAACTGGAGTCATTCTAGAGTCTTTTCAAAGCACTACTTCTTCAGGCTATTTTTCAGATCCTGAGCACCTCTTTCACCAAGGTACACATTTTTGGTGTGTTTGCACAACATTAATTTATTCATTCATTCTTCCATTTAGTACTCACAGGTATTTATATGATATAGAATGTATGTCAGGCTAGGTATTGGGGATACTGGAATAAATAAGACAGAACCCAGCCATGCCCCTGTGGAGTTCACAGTCTTTAAGTCAATTTTGTTTTCGTTTATGTTGTCAATTTTCATTGGTGGTCATTTACTGCTAAAGGAACTTTTGCCCAATGATTTAACTAGAGGCCTGATAGATAGGACTTCTGTCCACACTGACTTTTTGGATACTGTAGTAGAAATGGCATGGGAAACAAATCCTCACCTACAGCTAGACTGAGGGCAGGTCTCAGTCAGCTTCAACTGGAGATCTCATCTGTTCTGGAGCTGTGGGGTGCTCAGAGTAGGGCCTGCCCCAACCTCTGCCCTGCAGTGTTTAAACCCTGAGAGCAAGCTCACTGTCAGATGGCAGAGTTCAACTTATTTGCTGAGGTGTGCCTTCTCAAAGCCCAGAATTTGGGCTTACAGAAGAGGAAGAAAGGTAGAATAAGGTGTTACAGATGCAGGCCGGCAAATGATGAGACCTCAACACTTTGCCTGGTTTCCTGGCAGGTCTCCATCTCCTGGTGATTGAACATGTGCTCTTATGTAATGGTGCATCTCCTGGCAGGGAATTTCCTTCTTTGCTGTTGCTGGGGCAGCAATTCCTATAGCTATCCTCCCCCTCCATATATACGCATGCAACTTCCAAAGGTAATAAGTCACTTGGCTTCTTAAAAATAAGACCTTGTTTCAGGTTTATTGCTACTAAGCATTGTTTCACTCTCCCCGTGTTTTTCCATCCCCCAGATAAAAACTTGCCTTATGGTTTAAATCTTTTCTTGTGCTCTTTTTCCATATCCTTAGCTTTTTTGACAACCAGGTAACTACTGGTATCTGTTTGTGGGCTTAGAGAATTAAAATATCTTTAAAAAAAATTAGTCACATAATTTTACTCATTTCCTTACCCAAACAAGTGAACAGGGGAGAATGTCTTTAGCAGAGCCCCTTGCAGGCAGAGAAGGAAGGTCAGACAGCATATTTGCTTGTCTTTTCCCTCTAGTTCCCCATTTACCAAGGGACAGTTCACTGAGAGGTAGCCCCAGGGCTATAATGCCCTCTTAAAGGTCTGAAATGCCTACTTGGAGGCCTGAATGTCAGCAGATCCATTGGGCCAGGTTGTGTAATTGCCATGCATGAAGCATTTTACTGAGCTCCTGAACTGCCTTGATCACCAGTTGAAGCTGACAGGCAGTATTCATTTTCCCTCTTCTGTCTGCCTGGAGAGTAGGGATGTCTTGTTTAGGGGAGGGCATTCCATCAAGCAGTAGGAGAAAGGTGAGAAGGAACAAATAATAGAAGAAGCCCAGTGCCCTTTTTTTTTTTTTAAACTTTGGAAGCAAATATTGCTCTGGTGCAGACTCCAGTAGTGAGAGTTAAGACAGTTGGGTTAAAGTAAGGGTAAGCATTGGGACAAATGCATAGGATAATAGAGACTCCCCCAGCTTCTCCTCAAGATCACTTCATTCTGGGGACCACCCACATATCCCATTGTAGTGAGATTTAATTTAATGGAATTTAAAAAAAAATTAATATATATATTTTTTTTACTGAAGAAACTTTATTCATAAAACAAGTGTGAAAGTTTCTTTTTATTGGTAGTAAAAGGGAATTTTAAGGCAGTAATGTCAGCTCTTTATTCCTCAAAGGGAAATAGTTACTATAAGGCTGTACTTTGAGCCACAGGGCTAGTTAGCACCTTTCCTCTTCATTGGAGAACCATGAAATCTATTATGGTCCCTTAGGATGGTGGTTTCAATGAGAAATTGCTACATTTGTAAAAAAAAAACTCAACAACAACAAAACCATACAACATATTTACCATGATAGAAAGATTTTACCAAAAATTAACATTCTTAAGTTAGGTTGCCACATTGCAGGAAACTTAGAAATAAGAGCAATGAGAAATGATGCCTGTAATGTGGAAGGGCTATTTTCATATTGGTGGGAGTGAAGGATGCTGTTTGAGGTTGGGGCTGGGGGTTTTGTGATGGGTATTTGAAGCTGCTAACAGTTGTGGATCTAAGACTAGTGAAGCAATTTCAGGACAGCATTGGGGTGACTGTCCTTGAGTATCAAGATCCGTTCACTCCCACCCTGGGTTGGATTCAGGGCAACAGCCTTTGTTCCCTAGGGTGATGGTAAGTTGGTGTCTCTGTGTAAAAGCATTTATCTGAAAAAGTAGAGCTGCTGGGGAAAGAGTTACCTTTTACAAGGCTTAGGTTTTAGTGGCAGAGCCTGTGAGACACTTGTGGATGTTTCCTTTTTCTTGTGCTCATGTGTGTCCGTGATGGTGTCCTTTTTCTTTCCCTTTCAGTCCTTTGGCTTAGAAGTCAGCAGGGGTCCTCTGTTCTCTCATCCTCTGGTTCTTACCTGAGTGTGGAAGTCTCCACTCTGCTGGTAGACCTTGCAGTGGCACCAAGCTGGTTCACATCAGCCATGAAAGGACACCTTTGCTATTGTCAGGGCTGGGGGACAGTGGAGTCCCTGTGAAGTTATTGGTATAGCAACAGCAGAAAATGCAACTGTAGTGAAAACTAAATGGGTTTCACAGACTCTGGTGTTGCCTGTGATGTATTCTCTCTCCCTGGCTCTTACATCTCAAAAAAGGAGAAAAACAGCCATCCTTGAAACATCTGAAGGCTACATGCCAAGAATCAGAAACAGGATATTATTGAAGCATTTTTCTCAAGCAGAAACAGATGTAATTCCCTGTTACTGTCGCCAGTGTTAGTAAATCCTTAAAATTACCTGATAGCTATGTGCCCTTAAATGTACTACCACCTCCCACACACATATACAAGTATTATACTTTTTCTCTTTTTTGCCAGGGCCCCTTGCCTTGACTTGGGGAAAGTTAGTCTGGGATTCCTGATGACAGTAATAGGTTCTCAGTGGGTGTGCAGACGGCAGAGTTGGTAACTGACAATTCTTTATTACTCAGAAGACGATCTGTGGTGAAAATGAAATGATTCAGGATTCTTTTCTCTTATAAGTTGGAGATTGGACACAAAACCTCCTAAGAAGAGACACAGATAGGGGCTCTTTCCCAGTCCTCCTTTTCTTATCATCCTGTCTTAGGAGGGGGAAACGTCAGTCTTTCCAAGTCCAACCTCCTGCCTGCGGTGACTTGCCTTCACCCACAGAATTTTAAGATCGGGTGTGGAGTTGCTCTGTGTGTAAACTCTCCTTGCTGAAGTTTTGGCTACACTAGGCTTTGGCTTCTGAACTAGCCAGTAAAACGAAACTGGTT